CCCCTGCTCGGATGTGTTGTCCCCGCCCCCGGTGGCTCCAGTGGCCACCGGTTGGGTCCTCCCAGTCGTCCCAGTTAATCCCAGTTCCGACTGTAAAGTCCCCCACCCCCCGTCCCAGTTAATCCCAGTTCCGGCCAGTCCCGGTTCCAGTTTCTCACTGTTCGGCCCTAGAGATGCCCAGTTCCCTCCCAGTTCCCTCCCAGTCCATCCCAGTCTCTCCCAGTTTGTCCCAGTTCCAGCCCCAGACCCTTCCCAGCCTCCCAGTTCCCTCCCAGTCCCTCCCCAATCCTTCCCAGTTCCTCCCAGTTCCCTCCCAGTCCCTCCCAGTTCCCTCCCAGTCCCTCCCAGTTCCCTCCCAGTTCCCCTCAATCCTTCCCAGTCCATCCCAGTCTCTCCCAGTCCTTCCTAGACCCTTCCCAGCTCCTCCTAGTTCCCTCCCAGCTCCTCCCAGTCTCTCCCAGTTCCCTCCCAGTCCTTCCCAGTCCCCCGCAGTCTCTCCCAGTTCCCTCCCAGCTCCTCCCAGTTACCCTCAATCATTCCCAGTTCCCTCCCAGTTCCCTCCCAGTCCCCCCCAGTCCCTCCCAGTTCCCGCGGGGGGGTTGCCTGTAAATAACCCCCCAATCACTAATTTTGCTAACGAATAAAAGCGACTATTTTAGTACGAGTTACTCCCGGTTTTTGGGGGGCTGGGGGCTCCCCCGGGGCAAATTTGGACCCCCCGGGGCAAATTCAACCCCCCCGGGGGTAAAAGAGTTCCTAAAAGGGGGAAAATGCCCCCAAAAAGGGAATAAACCACCCCAAAAAGGGGAAAAATCACCACAAAAAGGTGAAATGACAGCAAATAAAGGGTAAAATGACATCAAAAAGGATAAAATGACACCAAAAAGGGGTGGAATGACACCAAAAAGGATAAAATGACACCAAAAATGGGTGAAATGCCCCCAAAAAGGGATAAAATGCCCCCAAAAAGGGATAAAATGACACCAAAAAGGGGTGAAATGACCCCAAAAAAGGATAAAATTACCCCCAAAAGGGATAAAATGACACCAAAAAGGATAAAATCACCCCAAAAAGGGGTGAAATGACCCCAAAAAGGGATAAAATGACACCAAAAAGGGGTGAAATGACCCCAAAAAGGGATAAAATGACACCAAAAAGGGTGAAATTACCCCAAAAAGGGTGAAATGACACAAAAAGGGGTGAAATGACACCAAAAAGGGGTGAAAGACACCAAAAAAGGATAAAATGACCCCCAAAAGGGGTGAAATGACCCCAGAATGGGTAAAAATATTCTAAAACGGGTTAAAAGACTCCCAAAAAGGAGGAAAATGAGCTCAAAATGGGGTAAAATAACCCGAAAATGGGTAAAATAACTTAAAAATGGGGTAAAATAACCTCAAAACAGGCAAAAAATAAAGCAAATCAAAGATAAACAACCCCCAAAACGAGAAAAATAACCCCAAAAATTAGAAATAATCCCCAAAAAAGGGTTAAATAATCCCAAAATGGGTAAAATAATCCCAAAAAGGGGTAAAAAAGCCCCCAAATAAGTAAAAAATAAACCAAATTAAGGAAAAATAATCCCAAAAAGGGCTGAAATAACCCCAAAAAGGGGCAAAATAGTCCAAAAAAAAGGTAAAATAACCCCAAAATGGGGTAAAACCCCCCAAAAATGGTGTAAAAACCCCCAAATAGATAAAAAATAAACCAAATAAAATATAAATAACCCTAAAAAGGGGCAAAATAACCCAAAAATGCACAAAATAATCCCAAAATTTGAAAAAATAACCCCAAAAAACCGTAAAACAACCCCAAAAAGGGGTAAAATAACCCAAATAAAGGACAAATAACCCCAAAAAAGGAGCAAAATAACCCCAAAATTATCAAATAATCCCAAAAACTGGAAAAATAACCCCAAAAATGGGGTCAAAGGACCCCCCTAAATCCCTTTTTTACCCCCCCCCACCCCAAAAAAAAATCACCAAGCTCAGCTCGAGTCT